GTCACTATCAAATACCACTTCTTTTAAAGCTTATTCAAAGACATCTCTTATCAAAGTCTAGTAACACTGGCAATCAAAAAGGAGTTGTTTGTCACTAGTGGAAACTGTGACTCCCAACTGCTGGCAACAGATCAAGGGAAATGATGATTGGACAGACTCTTCAGATACAGCAGATGTCACATGATGTCTCAGTCGACCAATTAACATGAACAGTGGTCACAATTTGATTATCTTTAATCATATTATATGAAGGGTATTACAAAACTGACAACCAATTTGAAAACATTTTATATCAGACATGAACAGGAAAGAACGGTAGGAGTCATCGTTAGCTAAGACAGTTTTATTTTTCTAACAGAGCAGTTGGTCTTAGGAATGGGTTGGCAGGTGGAGGAAGTAAATGTGAATTTAAGGGAAGGCTTGATAAATATATGAATGATAAGGGCTGGCTTTGAGGGTTGTTTTTAATAGTTTTAGTTTAGTAGATTGGACAGCCTAGATGGACCAATAGGTCCCTTGTTGTCCCTAAAGATTATGATATGTTACTAAATACTGTTAGCAGTCATGATCATACAATGTTTAATTTCCATCTTGATAACAACAGCTCTTGAGCAATGATAATTTTTGTACTGTCCAAAATTGATTCAAAGGAGCATGACAGTAGTTCTGTTATTGATCTTGGCAACAGCAACTACTAGAGTCACCTTAGAGATAAATTTGAATGTTTTATATTTGACACAATAATCTACTGGCATCTCTGAATCAACTGCAGTATATACTACTTGCTGAATGGGCTAATGGATAATAAGAAACCTTCCATCCTATTACGGAGTTTATGTCGCACTAAGTTCAAGTATTTATCATGACAAAAAGGCAATCCAATCTGACTTTAGGAGAGTAGCCAGATAAAGTGGTTAATTGGTGTACTTAACAACAAATAAATAAAAGTATATAATATTAAATAAAATTCCATAAACCTTGTATTTCTGTTCAGCAGCTTCTTTTGCTTTTTTAGCATTCATTTTTTTTCTCAACATAGCTTCTTCTTCATCTCTGTTTCTCAATGCTTCCTTCACTAACTGATGCTGTGATAATATAAATGCATATATTAAAAACAATTATCAAGATCTCACGGTGTGCTATAATACCAGAATCACTGATCATTTGAAATAAAATAACCAACTATCCTGTAAAAAAAGGTGTAAGTCAAATGAAAAATGACTACATGAAACTAGAAACACACATGGTTCTCTTTCAAAAAAAAAATTACATTGAAAAATAACTACATCTAAATTTATCACAAAATGTGTGTTATTATGTTATATTTTGTTAAAGTTTACACTTTATCCTTCTACTTGTTACTTGTTTACACTTTCCATGGTCCTTTTCTTTACACTTTATTTATTTATTTTTTATTTACATGTAGACTTCCACATGTTCTTTGTTTAGATTTTACTTTTGTAGTATGTCAATATACAAATCTCATTCCCCAATAGTATATATTTAATATCAAAAGTTTTCTAAATTCTAATCTGGAACATCCCAATTCCAGACAAGTTCATGTAGCAAATTAAACTTAAAGTGTTAAATTTCTGTAGGTTGTCTGGTCAAGGAACTAATCAAATGTTTATAGAGGACCACGTTACAACTATCATATGGAGCAAAGATACTTCTGCACTCTGCTGTCTGTTATGTGATTGGTCATTTACAGAGAGCATTTGTATTTTGAACACTATGTTCAGATTCATGTTGACTTTTGATCAAACAAGATTCATTTCCAACTTGAAAGTGTTGTCTATGTTTTACTCTAATTTGATGATTGTGTACTCTTCTGATATTTGTGAATGCAGTTATCCAGTTATTATACTTTTAGATTTCTTTATTTCATAATGCAGTAGTTCACTACCATTACTATGATTAGCCATTCTTCTGTTTTTATTTCAAATAAAGTACCTTATTTTGCTCAGAATTCAACAGTGAGACTTGTCTCTTTCATTTCAACTGTAACAAATCACTAAGATATATATAAAGGCTACTGTCATCGAACGGATGTTGAAAAATTGGCCTTATCATTAAATGTTCACACAACCAACCACAAAATTAATTTTGATCAATCAAAATAATTTTCATCAAAACTATTTAGTCAATTGTTTGTTTCTTATTAAGCTCAAAGCTACACAATGGGCTATCCATGTTTTGTCCATCACAGGTATTGAAAGTTAGTATTTGGCATTATAAGCCTTCAGACTTACTGTTGAGACACTGGGGGAGGGTTATGTGTGTGAAACTAATATAGATATGTTAAAACAGAGAAAACATGCTCATACAATAACGAAACTTATAATTTTTCTATACTGAAAATGTATTTCCAATAGGTACTTCCCTCATCTCACAAGATTAGCTTTTCCCATTTTGTGCTGCCCTCTATATGCGAACTTTTTTTTATAATGCATGCCACAAGCTTTCTGCACCCCATTATTGGAATCAAAGATTCCAACATGTCTCTCATGCAAATCATCATGCGTCATCTCTCCACCAATAGGATAGCACTACTATCATGTGACTCTCTATGTGTCACTACCGAACCATCACTTCTAAGTTTGGCAGAAGATATAAGCACTGGAAGATTGTGGGGAGGAGGTTGGGAAGTGTGAGAAGAGGGAAGTACCTATTGGAAATACATTTTCAATATAGGAAAATTATAACTTCCAATACCATACTTCCCACTTCTCACAAGATTAGCTAGAATCCCACACAGAAAATGAGGAGGGATCGGTGTATGGGAAGAACAGACGTATCCTCCGAAAGTGTTCGAAGGATAATTCTGTAGGTGAGAGAAACAGATCAGATGTGGTGAAACACAAGAAAAACTACGAGATTCACATATTATCATTCCAGGTACACAAGTGAAAATACCAAATTTTAGTTATATAGAGGTATGGTGGGAATCTACACCTATCATAGGAAAATATACAAATCTGAATAAACTTTCTAATGATTTTGTTTATTGAACTCATTCATAAAAGCTAATTTTTTAAGAATATTCCTTTTCTCACAGGAATATTCCACTTTTCATATCCTTGTTAGCTTTGAATAAATAATATTTCATGGTAAAAGCTGAATTTAAAAAAATAAGAATCTTACATGAAATAAAACTATTTCAGTCAAAGCATAAAGCTAAAGCATAAGTTTAGAAAACTGTTTTATATTTGAAAATTACAATGCTAAAACCTGGCATTTGATTCTCAAAGGTGTGTAGCTTTCCACTAAGAAAATAACAATATAACTAAAAAGGGCTTAGCTATCTTTGTATATAAACTCAGTAAAATCCACAAATCACGTGCTAGTTATTCCAACATAGCAAAGATAGCCTTCAACATGTGTTATTTTTAACAGAATGCCACTAGCACTGGTTAATATCTAGGTTACTTTTCAAAACAATTTTAGCTTATACAACTTTAAAATTAAATGAAACATGACTTGTTTTTCTTCAAACTTTTTAGGCCATGGATCAAGCCAAGTAATTAAGTGATATAAACACTGCAAAATTTTAAGTAATAAAAAGAAAATATGCATAGAAGTCACAATATGTTGTGTGAATAATCACAAATATTTGAAAAAAAGTGTGGTGCAATAAACAACAGCACTCTGTCAGAAATTATTGCAAATATTTTATGAAGTCAAACTGTACCTTTCTTTTAACCTTCCAATATCGACGTTGAACAATCATCCTTCTGGCACATGCCTGGATCTTGACAATAGCTTTCATTTTTTTCTTCGCTTCTTGACGAACCACAACCCCACGACAACGAGCCTATGTTACAATTTTTTTACAAGTAAAACAGTGAATATATACACTATTACAAGGTTTTAATTATAAAGCTTTACATTATAATAATGCTTACTGTGCCTTATAAATAAAAAAATGAGTAACTAATTTCGAATTCTTTATAAGGTTTACATGATAAAAACATCAGGTTCTAGCATAGTTAAGGGATTGAGTACAAAGTGACTAATAAATATATGAACTTGAATACATTTTAAGATTCAAATGAAGAATTCAAATTTTTCAATGACGATGTAGATTTAGCAAATAAAATTGTGAGATAAACAACTAATCTACAGAGTTATAAGTGTAATGGAGAATTTTCAATATCAATATTAAAATAATGTTTATTTGTAACATAAAACTGTGAATATGCATAAAACACAGTGTAACAGTTAAAATATCCAATTTTAAGAATTTAATGTTCATCTAAAATAAAAAAAATTTAATAACTATATACTAGAGTACTAACTTGTAGAGCAACAATGTGTCTTCTCAAATGTTTAAAACGTGAAGTGAGTATTCTTGTACGTATTAGTGCTTGAAGCCTCTGAAACCCTGTTCTCATCTGCCAATCCATATAAAACAATGATAAATGTAAAATATATTAAAATAATCCTTTTTTAATTTTTCATATATTAAATGATTCAATATTAGTCACTTCAAATAAAAAAGGTTGCAACTGACTTTAAATAGCAGTATGAAAACAGATGAATTCAATTCAAAATATTATGTTTATTCAGCTATATGTCAAAATTTGTTAATTTCTTTTAAGATAAAAACAGAAAAAATAAAATATAAATAAAGGTACTTTTGAAGACAAGTATTCTTCAGTATGATTATTTCTGTCAAAGGTTTAATAGAATATAAAATTTACAAATATTTTTGTAGATTTTCTTGTTTAACTATAATTATTTATTAAGATCAAATGTTTTGTCCAAAAATAAGAATATGTAAAGATTTTTACTTTGAAAAATGAATCTCATCTTTAAGACACTGTAAATCAACTATGCCAAAATTAATTTTGCATAATCAGCTTGATACCTTTAATTTTTTTTTTAATAATATAAACATTAGTGAGAAAACATACCTTCTGAATAATTAGAATACATGCAAGAATATTAATGATCCATTTTAAAAGTATTTAATCTGAAGTGAGAATTATATTTATCAAATTATTCTTTCTGATTGTTAGTTGTTCAAAGGTCATGTGCATGGTCAACTCAATAATGTTCAAAAAATGTAAACAGCTGTCAATGAAACAAATCACATAAATAAAATATTCTGTTTTTTTGCTGGCATGAAAAAGTAATGACAGACAGAAATAAAAAGCATAATTATTAAAGACTTTCCTCTTTTTTTAAAACTATTTTTTATGGCATTAAAATGATCATTAAGAGCACATACGATGAGAAACTGTCGTTTAAGTATGTATCCTCTCCAGAAGCGTTGAATGACAATTGCACTTTGTCGCATTTTCAAAAATTTTCGCCGATAATACCAGCATCGGACTGTCTTCTGAATGATAAGAATCTTACGAGTCAGAACTCTATCCCTTTCTTGTTCCAGGTACAGGTCATGAGCATCCTGTTAATGATAACAAGTCAAAAAGAGTAAATAGCGAGGTGAGTTTAGCAAACCATTTAAGTTGGAATAATCACTGTTTTAAAAAATTCACAACCATTACATTTTATATTATATTGGTGTGCTATTACCATCACAGTCTTCAATATTTCACAGAATGGTTCTCATATGCAATAACAAGTTGATCTAATATCACAATGTGAGAATGATGAAGCAAATAATAAATAAACAATATATATAGTACAAGCCTTTGAAACTTCAATTTCATCATGACAACAGTAAAAAAACAATAATGTGTATTGTAAGGACACTACATATAAATGATCTTGCAAGCTTCCTTACCTTTTGCATTAAAACAAAATGTTGTTATGTATAATCAATTATTTTTCTTTTACTCTCAATGTTATCAGTCATGTGACTTTTTAAAATGATCTTTACTGATTTTGGATAGGTGTATTAACACCTTGTATTATCGTTCACATATTGGTCTCTGTGCATACTAAGTAAAGATATGTATCTTATGTAGCACTATGAATATAGCAGTTAATTTCTACTATATTTTCTGGCATTGTCTTTAGGGTCAATGCATCAACACATTCAATTACAATAAGGAAGTTTCTTTCTGTTTAATTTCACACAAAGCTAATCAGGGGTTATCTGCACTGGTCATCCTTAATTTTAAAGTGATACACTAGAGGAAAGGTAGCTGTTCCACACTATCAACTGCCAACTTTTGGACTACTATTTACCAACAAATAATGGAGTTGACTATCACACTATATTGTCCACATGGCTGAAAGAGCGAGCATGGCCAGCAACATGCTTCAATCCTGTGAACTGCAGATTGCAAATAGAGTGCATTAACCATCACATTAGAGGAGTAGAGTTATATTTAATGCATGGTAACTTAACACATTTCTTTAATGAGTTGTCATTAAAAGAATGTTTACATAATATATAGCTAATATGAATAAATAAGATTATGTGCATATTTAGATATATTCGCCTACAGATTATGCTGGGTACTTAAGTGATGTAATTGAAAATCAGTGTTATGAGGACTATGTAACAATAACAATGTTGAAAGGATGCAGCATATTCTGAACATTAGGAAGCTAAAGGTCCATTAGATTTTAAAACAAAATATAGCAACAATTAATAATTTTACATTTTGAAGCAGACAAATCATCACTCCTAATCTCAGGGTTCTACTCAGCAACAAGAATTAAAAGCTTTAAACAATGAACAAAGAATATGGATAAGAAGTTTAAGGAATAAATTGAAACAAATTGATATATTTTGATAGATTAATATTAACTTTTGAACAGAGCAAGCTGCTTACATTGAGCACAATTAAAAATCAAAATAGTTATGATTATATCTAATTAAATATATTTTTCTTATGTTCCAATTTTGTCTTAAAAAGACTATGACTGTTAATCTGCTTGGAATGGTGACTGTTAAAACAAGATTTATTCAGCTGCAGCTCTTTTAATTGGCCACAATAGGGTGCTCTTGTAATGTATCATCTATATTTTTTGCAGTATTTTATTGATAAGAATTAATTATATGAAACTTAACTCCGAAATTGTTTTTTACTAGTCTGTTTTGCTGTTTTCACACTGAAGCGTTTTGTTCAAAAGATAAATGCTTCAATAAATGTGAAATTATTTGATTGGTTGATTGATCCCCCAACTTATACAATCAACATTTATCATGCACAGACAATTTTTAAATAATCATTAACCATATCTTAACCATATTTGAAAAAAAAGCCTTATATATACCCTTTTATGTTTGATCCTGCTCAATTATTTATGAAAGTTTCTAACCTTTAAAAAGACTTTTGTCTTTCCAAGTTGAAAGTCTGTTTTTCCAAGTACTCCTGCACAAATTTTTGCAGAAGCTGCTTTACAGTCAATTTTATGTGATAGGCCTACTCCAGAGATCAGGAATCGATAGCGATCCACAAAGTCTCTAAAAGAATGCCGGATTGGATATCCGGCTCGTCTTATACGAATTGTTTCCATCATTCCCGAGTAACGCAGCTGCTTGCAACACAGCTCCCTGTCAAACATCTAGAAAAATAAAATTTCAAGCATTTGCTATTTTTACAAATACCTAGATTATAGGAAAACAATTCTATCTATATTATAATATTACAGTTCCTCTATCAATAATATTGTATATAAAAATTTACATTACACTTTAAATTTCTTAAATTTAATGGTTACTAAAATTTTAGATCCATAACTTTTCATAACATATAAATAAATCACTTATTTTTCTTTCACAACTATCAATATCATATTTACAACACCACCAAATTGGAAATATTGTAAAGCTTCATTAAAAATAAAAAAACAATGTACCAAAGATAAAATGTAGTAAATACTATTTTAGTTACATGAAATGGAAACTCTGATCCTGGATAATCCTTACCCTTGACTTCTTAAATTCATTTGGCTTGATACACCTCACAAAAAATGGATGACACTGGCCTAAAGCACGCATCAGTGAATCAAGAGATTTTTTGAACTGGGCCCCCAGGGTTAATGCTTTCTTTCGGGAATCTGTTCCCTTTTATAAAACAATAGTTTTAAATATTTTAGTTAATGACATAATAATAAAAATATTTTTTTGACAACTTATAAAATATTCAAGTTAATTTTTAGGTTATTTTCAATGGTTTTATAAAGCTAGACAATATTTATTAAACAAAAAAAACGTAAGTTTATTTTGTTAATCCTCAGTTTCTATTTGAATGTTTGTTTTTAGTTTATTTGGTAAGAAATACAGTGTTCAGTGTAAAATAATCCATTCTCTTTCAAATTAATGTAGCACATTGTTGATACAATTGTGAGGTTACTCTGGAAAACAAAGTAAGCAAATCTGTATTTCATTTTTTCTAAAATTTTTATCTCATTACAAATCAAGATGAAATATTTAATGAGACCCCACAAAAAAGGATTATTTTATATTATTCTTTAATTATCATCAAGTAAAAACTAAATACAGTAAGTTTCCTTTTCAATATAAAACATATGAAGTGTAAAATAATTTTATTCTATTGATTATACAAATGCATTAAAACTGTTTTATTGTGGGGCATATTTTGGGCAATCACCCATCATCAGCTTGTGCTTTATTGCATCATCTTAAAAACTAACATCCTATTAGAAATTTCACTGACTTTTCATATGTGCCTTTTAAATACATATTATCCATGGATTCCTAGACTAGCTAAAGACATTACCATTCCAATGTCTTCTGAGAAAATATTCTTAAGGAATTTGTTATTGCTGACTTGGATTAACTGTATCAAGTCTCCACTAAAGGTGTCCCGGTTTTTCTCAAGAAAGCCTGAAAATCAGAGTAATTTACAGTTTAAACTAAAACTACAGTGTACAAAACACTAGTTTTAACTGACAACTATAAAAAATAAAATAAAAGAGAATAAAACAAAAACCGTGTAAAACACATTGAAAAATGATGACATAAAGTAAGTAACAAACAAATTATTTGGTTGATAATCATACTTAGTACTTGTTGATCTTCACAGAATTTGTCTACAACCAAATAATTTTAATTACTCATGTAAGATGTTATGAGAAAGAAACATATTAAAAACAATATCCAAGCTTAAAATCTTCACATGGATTACATTCATGAATGTTACCATTATTATTATTACATTAATTTGTACTAAAACACATTTAGAGTGTCCTCTCACTTTATTTCCACTATTTATTTTAAAATGAAGTGAAGAAGAATACTGTTTCTACATAATGTCTTTGCCAACTGATATAAATTAGAGTTTCTGCAGTTAAAGAATATTTTTTACTTTAATAGGAGATAATTAACAGTTTTTAAAAACTGTCTGTGTTATTCAAAAACCTAATATTATCGTATTTACAGTTTTAGTAAAGTTTAAATTACTTTTAAAACAAAATACTTCTTTATTTAAGACAATGTAACAAAATATTTAAAAAATGATGTCCTTGTTGAAACTCACCTCTTGTGTCATAGAAAACTACACCAGCAAAGTGTCCAATTCCAAAAGATGTGTTGAGATCTGATTTTGGCTTAAGGTAAATACTGTTAGTGCCATGTGTTTTATGCACTTTGTTTAACATAGTCTGATCAGTACCCTGTAAAAAAAACAACAAAAAACATATTTATTGCATATGCATGTATGTTGATATTCTTGTTAAAAACTCTGCCCTGTCACCTGTTTGTTAATTTTGTTTTCTCTTTTTTAGACTTTCAAACAATTTTATAGTATAAATATCAGTTAAATATTGCATAAATAAGATAGGAGATTTTCACTGTAGAATTAGAACTGTTTTCATTACATATGCTATATACACAAGACTTGTTAACAGAAGTTTCATTTAATTCTTACTGGCAAAGATGAAAAAAGAAACAGGTTAACTTAAAACTCTAAATTGAAACATTTAAAAACAAAAAAAAGTTAAATTTTATTACATCTTCGTGTTGAAAAATATTATTATTACTGGACAGAAAATTTTTAGTTATGATAAAAGTTTTATCTCATGCAATACAAGTTTATTTTCTTAATGTGTGAAAATCAAAAAAGCAAACGAAGTATTAAATCTTTCATCAGCCCAGAGTTTTTATCTCCAAAATTATATTTTTTTATTCTTATGTGCAAATGGCACATACAATCGTTTACTGCTGCATTTACTTTAAAAGGTGAAAACACTCATAATAGATAAAAAACAATACAATACAAAAAAGTAGCTTGAAAAGTATAAAAGTAAATATTTTGGATATAAACAAAAAGTATAGTCTACTGAGTAACTAAGTAGTTTCCTAGTTTTCTCATATAGTATATTTAACTTTGTTTCTAATTTTACTACATTAAAGCTGTCAAAACACATTCAAAATTTCAGAAATATAATACTAATCTATCTATTTATTAGGTCGTCAATAAATTAATGTCACTATTTTTTATTAGATTAAAAAACTTGAACAACTTATACATCAAAACAAAACATTTATTAAATGAAATAGTCTTCATTCTCATTGATGATGCTTTTCCATTTTACAATCAGGTTGTTTATGCCCTGATTAAAGAAATCACTTGGCTTTGAAGCAAAAAACATGTCGATGTCCTCTTTAACACCTTCCACCAGTAAGATGGTGTTGCAGTGAACGAAAAAGATGATAATCTGATGGTGTCATATCTGGAGAATATGGTGGGTGGAAGAGAACTTCTCAACCCAACTTCATAATCTTGTGTTGCGTCAAACATTCCACATGTGGACGTGCATTGTCATGGAGAAGAAGA